GTTCAGCAGTTTTAACTGGGGTTCAGACTACTGGGGATAAACTGATGTATAAATAAAACGGATACTGTTCTTTGAAGTTTCTTAATTAAACTTGTCCAGAGAAACCTCAAAAGCCACCAGAAGCAGGGGGAGGGTGGGGAGAAAGGCTGATAAATGTGGGAGGCTAAATGAAGCTGGAGATGCACACTGCCCTTTCTGGCAAGGTGGTGAAGACTGATTCATTTTTGCCAGGGTTTCCTTTACACCCTGCTTGGGGCTGAAGTGTTATGAACAGCTCTACTGATGTTCTAAAAGAATTGTATTGATCTCCACAAGTGCAACAACATTCATGATAACACTGTTAATGTTACAGTCCCTTTCTGGCGCTTCAGAATGGCCACAGCTTGCTCATGAGTAACACCTTCCAAAGCTTCCCCGTTCACTGCTAAAATCTGGTCGCCGCGCTTCAGTCTGCCGTCGTCTGCAGCCGCCCCCTGCAAAGGAGGGAGGGGGAAGGAAAGAGCAAAACAGGAGGCAAAGTTAGTGGCTGGCAGCATGGAGGAGCCATCCTGTCTCTCAGAATGCTGATGGATGGAATGAGGAGGGATGCAGCCCTGGAAATCCCACCACAAGTGGGTGGGGAACAGGGGAAATGCCAGCGCTGAGGTGTCCCTGAGGGCTTCAGCCATCGCCTGTCGCCCACCCAACCCTGCACGGTCTGGGGTAGCATGGGCAGGTGGTACATGCTGGGAAGGAGAATTGGCTCATCCTTGAAAACTGCAGTGTAAAGGCTGCTCCTGGCTTTTAGGATTATGGAGAGGCTTTTTTAAAGCAGCATTTGAAGGTACCCCACACCTAATACTGAGAAAGGGGTTAAAAGGTGGGGAGGGAGAGGTACACAGAGCTCATGCAGCAGAACAGCCTGGACACTACTCCAAGTCCTTGATGGAGCTGGGCACCACTGAAGGGCCTGAGAAGATCCCACAGAGCTTTAGCAATGGCTATTCTCCTCCAGAGGCCCCAGTGCAGCTCTTTTACCTAAATCCTGAACCCTGCCCTGCCCAGAGACCTGCTCAGGGTGTCCATTTCTCCTCCATGACCCCACAGTGACTGCGGTGGCTTTTAGCTTCTATTTCAGATTTCTCAGCTGTGCTCACATCTAGAAACTTTAAATCTAAGCAGCAGTTTGAAGACACAATATCTCCCCCTGTTTATAATTTAAAATTGTAAAAAACCCCAGGTATCTGTGGTTTGAGCCCTGGAACCACAGAAGCAGAAGGAGACACACGACTTCTACTCTATCTTCAGATGAAGTTTTCTTAATTATATCACCTACCCTGCCAGAGGTGCTGGCACAAGTGACAGCAAGTAGGCACAGGACAAAAAAGCTGTGTGTGGCTGACTTCAAAGATACTTTATGTAAAGTTCTCCTAATTTTTTTCCAATTCCTGTTTTTCTTCCCCCAATCCCCTGTTTCCAGAGCTCTCTTCACATGGCCATGCCTGATGCATCTTTGTGGCCCCTGCTGAGCACACCGCCCCCACGGGGATGGGTGGGAAAGTGGGCACTTCTCCCTCCACACCAGTGGCCATTCCAGGGCTGTTTGCCTCGAGGCTGTGCTGCACTGTGCTTCTTCCTCAGCCTTGGTGGCCAGAGCCACTGCTGTACCTGGCTGGGACCCCCACATTCCATCCTGACACTCAGGGCTGGGGTGTTACGTGGGCTGAGACAGCCATGCATGCTCACGGAGAGGCATGAGAGGGAAGCTGGAAGCAAGGGAGAACAGCTAAAGCCAGGAGCAATGTGTAAGCCAGCTTGTCACCAAGCCACAGGCACAGCGTTGTCACCTTTTGGTGTGTTTTCTCATCGAGGTGACCAGCTGTGCCCAGGAGCTTACTGCTGGTTTTACAGCTGAAGCTCAGCCACCAAAATAACAGCATCTCTGCAACTGTCTCCTCTCTGGTACAGTGGGGAAAGTGGTGCCTCCAGACCTCTTGGAAGGCTTTTTGAGATTTACAGATATAAAACTGCCTTATAAATATTTTAATGTATTAAAACAAGTTTCCTGAGTACACAGAGCAATTTTGCTGAGATAAAGTATCTTGTTTCAGCCATCAGTAATATGAAATATAAACTGAGAAGCCAGCTGTGAGCTCTGGGTCCACTCACTCACATCAATGTACTTAGTACATTTTGCTTTCTACTACATAATCTATTATCCAAGCCAAATCTTAGGTTTATTTTAAAAGATAATACAGAAAAACAAAACAAAAAGAGATACCTTGGCAAATATAGTCTTGACATAAATGGGCAGGTCTCCATGGGGACTTCCATACCCCCCTACAATACTAAATCCCAGTCCATCAGAGCCTTTCTCCAAAGTAATAATCTTAGGCTGAGGTGCTCTGAAAACACAATAAATATCACTTAGAATAGCAGTGTCTGTCTCTGGGGACTTTATGCAGAAGGAACACTTACAGAGAGATTTATCTATTAAGTCTTTCATACAGTCCAAAACATGACTCTTGCCCTTGCACTGGAATGCACTCCTGCACAGCCCTGAGTTCAAATGCTGCTTCATCTACTTCATCTCCCCACTCTGAAAATACTTGTTTTTAAGAAGAGCTCTACAAGAGCACTTCTCTCTGAGGCAGAGTAAGGCTCCCCTCATCTGCAGTCACTGCACGTATGGAAAGGCGAGTTTGCTTTCTCAGCGGCCAAGCTGTCGTCTTTAGTCCACGTAAGAGCCACAATTCCCTTACAGAGCAATTCTATTTTATTACTTCAGAGGAACGAGTCTAATAGACAGGGTGCAGCCAGGAACACTTGTGTTTGTAGTCTCAGCTCTCCTGCAGACTCTTCAGGCTGCTTCTAACCACCCACATTTGACCCACATCCCTGTGCTTCATAGCTCCTGGGAGGGCCTCACTCCGAGCAACACTTACATGCCCTGAACTCTCCTCAGGGGCTTTTATTGTCTACACTGAGCAAGGGAAGATTTTTGGTGGAATTCAGACCACTCATATATATATACACACACACACATATATATATATATATCTCAAATTTGAAAAAGCCATTTCTATAGAATTAGAATTACTGTAGACAAGAGCTGTTTGGCATCTCCCACCTATACAAAGGTGTAGCCTGTGGTGACCAATATTAAGCCGTTTCTCTGGGACAAAACTATTGCTCCCACCTATCTAATTCTGCTTCGTATTTTCACATGCAAATTTCCTCACTATTTTTATATGAAAAGAGAATACAAATCCTTTGGAGAGGCAAGTAATTCTCCTTTGAGAGCAGTAATAAAAACTGCATCTCACATTGTAAGACTAGAGTATGTGGCATGAATAGCTTCTTTCGTACTAAAAACCCCCTGAGGTAGGGCAGCAACTTGCGTCTCAGCTTCTTAAAATAAATATAATGACTCCTAGAATGAAAACGAAGAACATAATGAAGCTAATGAACCAAAATGAAGATCAAATGAATTTCCAAATGATAACTGGAATGCTATACATTGCCCTGAAAAGCACACGGTGGAGAAGGATGCATGACCATGGGAGGGCTAGATCTCTAACTTCCATCACCACACAGAAGAGCTGTAAGTAGAACATTTTGTGATCAGACTTTTTCAAATTGTAAAGCTAAAAAGATTCAAAAGACAAAGTTCTGAGACACGTGTTGCAATATTTCTCTCTGATATCTTTTTAACACCTCTTGCCTTAGTCTGCCAGGGACAATTCCAAGTTGCTGTGAGCCAAGCAAGCCAACAGACCAGGGCAGAATGATCATTAACACATTAGAGAGGAAAGGAGAGATTATTCATTTTTTTTAAATGTCTAGAACAAGTGCTTGAAAACACATTTTGTCCTTTTTTACTCAAGCAATAGCTGACAGCAGGTAATGGAAAATTAGAGAAAAAGGCAATGGGAGGGACCCCCTTCACCAGCCTAGGCTTTTCCCTTGCTTGGGGCATGGAGATCCACCTCAGTTACACAGGCTAAGCACAGACTTACTCAGGATCTTCCGGAGGATGTTCAGAGGAAGAGTTGAGGTTGCATCCTGCAGACATGCTCTCCAGCTGGGTAGCAATGGCACTGATGTTGGTATCAGCCACAACCTAAAGACAAGGACACCATGAGGTATGATGCATGTTCACTTAATACCAAAGACATCTTGGCTAATTATGCAGAAACCAGCCAATACATTAGGAAAAGCAATCGCTGGTTATTTTTTTTTTCCCCCAAGCAAAATTAAAACACAAGTCCTACTCTCTTTGCTTTCCTACTAATTCAATACTTCGAGATAACAGAGTTACCAGTAGCCACTTTTCTGGAGGTTTGCTCTGAAGCTTTCTCTTACCTTTCCACAACCATCAAACCACAACAAGTAAATTTGCTAAGGCTTTTTAAAGGAACCGTATCAATGTTGTACAGTTTTGTTACAAATACAACTATGAGAAAACAGTTACTTGCATGCTGAGGGTTGGGGGTTTGTTGTTCACCAGGTTTTATCCACATAAGGATAAAAGCTCCCTAGACTGCAGGCCCAGTGGGATTTAACCAGTAGCCACTTTTCTGGAGGTTTGCTCTGAAGCTTTCTCTTACCTTTCCACAACCATCAAACCACAACAAGTAAATTTGCTAAGGCTTTTTAAAGGAACCGTATCAATGTTGTACAGTTTTGTTACAAATACAACTATGAGAAAACAGTTACTTGCATGCTGAGGGTTGGGGGTTTGTTGTTCACCAGGTTTTATCCACATAAGGATAAAAGCTCCCTAGACTGCAGGCCCAGTGGGATTTATTTAAACATCGTGTGCAGCTTTTTTTTTTTTTTCCCCTTCCATTGCATGCTAATTTTCTATTTTTGCTTTATTTTCTGGAAAAAGTCAAGGAAACTGCTATGAAGTATTTAGGATTTTAAATATTCACAGCTGAAAGGGCAGCAGTTTCCTAACAACTACATGCCCTGGTTATCCCCTAATTCCATCTCCTTCTAAAGGGATGTTCTCTGCTTGATGTTTACTGTGCAGCACAGGGGTCTGGCTAAGAGACTGTGAGTAATAACCACTAAGTGTATTTTCAATATTTCCTCTAGCTATCTGTGGCCTTATTTTATCAAAATTAACAGGTACTTTTCCCACTCCTTGCTGTGAACATGGCCTACTGGTAATGTACCTTTTTTCAAAATAAAAAATCAATTCTGTAAATCCCCAATTTTAAATGAATGCTCACAACTCTTCCACAACAGTATTTCTCATTTTCTAATCACTTGGAGCCAAGGACAGTAGTAGCATTTTCTAGGAAGGAAGATTAGTTCACATGCAAAATTTGCATCCCAGGACTGAGGATCTCATGAAGGGGTCCAGCAGACAAGACAGCTGCCCCTGGCTCAGCCAGCAAAGACACCATTAAGTTTTCCTTCCTATTGCAGCAGAGAAAAGAATGCCAGCCAGTATTTGTCATATTTTGTTGCTAAATAAAATGAGGGCAAAATAAATCTATATTCAAAAATCTTCAGCTGGCAGTAAGAACATATCAGAGTTCAACAACCTTGTAAAAAAGCTTCCCCTTATCTCATTACTACACCTGCAGAAAAGAAATGAAATTAAACCAAAGCATCAAAACAGCCAAAAGGGATGATTGTTCCCCTGAGACCTTAATCTCCCATTTGCAAACAGCATTTGCAAACTCCTTTACCATCCTTCCCAGGACGTACTGATAATAAGCCTTTCCACACTACTGAATGCAATTATCTGACCTTTCAAAGCAGTTTGCCATGAAGTGGTCTAACCTGATAATAAACGGAATTACTTAATGACACATCAGTCATGATTATCACAGTGATAGGATTAGTCCATTTCAATTGTTTTAATAATAATAATTTTAAAAAACAATCTAGTGATTGACTAAGACCTGTGGTTGGCATGTAAGGTGACCATATTGCCAGGCTTATGGCAGGACTTGGAACACAACAATTTTAAGGACAGAACATCCTACCTTTGCACAACAGATTTTTAACAGAGGAAAACAGGCTCTATTCTATCAGAATAAACCTGTCTCACTCGTAAAAATCAAGCCCATTTTAAGCTAGACAGGAAAAACTGTGGAAGAAAAACCATCAAGTGCTAAACTCCAAGATATTTCTAGAAGAACCTCTTTGTTAATGCAGGTGCCCCACTGACCATGGGCTCCGTCAGGAATATTGTTAAATACAGGAGGAGGTGGAATACTCTGCATTACAGCTTTCAAGATGAGCAGTTTGGGGTTCTGCAGCAAGCTTTCATTTTCTATTCAGGGAATATCACTGACATGAAAAGTGAAATTACTCAATGTTAGTAACAATATGATAACTATAATTTAACAGAAAATCCTCAGCTGGTGGATATCTGTGTATTTCCTTCAACTTCAGTGGAACTACACAAATACACCATCTGCTCTGGAACTGGCTCATCACTTACAGGTCAGCAGTTCATAGGAGACAAAGAATAAGCAAGTCTAAATCTAAGTGTATTACTTCTTTTTTCTTCTCCCCCCATTTTTTATAGTCACATTAGTGTTGAAATGCACACAAGAAGCTTGCAAAAATCTCTCAAGATGCATTCTGATCCAATATGCTGGGATGCTAAAGAAAATCAGAGTAGATTTTCGTGGCACATCTTAAGCTTGTTTTGCAATTGTTACAATTATCTGCAAACGAGCAGTATTTTGAATTCTCTCTGGCAAGTGTTTTTCCCATTTCTTTGTGTAAACATGAAAATAAACTAAAGATGAATATACTGACAAGCAACAATTAGAACCAAAGTGGCAGAATGTGTCTTCCTTTTAGCTAGCATGGAAATGTGGCAGTGATAACACTATTTTCTCTCTCCAGTGTTATTCATTACCTGCAGAATAATCAGTTCTAGGCAGCACTGCCTTCAATATGATACTATCATTTTTCCTAAATGCAGTCAGTGTTTCTTTCTTCTCCCCCTTTCCAGAAGAAGGAAATTAGCACTGTGGGCAGTTTGGTCACAGTCTAGTTCCATGCATGCGCACATAAAGACACACGTCATTTCTTGTTTCTAGTTAACTTCAAATTTGAAAAAAACAACAACTTGGAAGATTGCTGATTTATCATGTGTAGCAACAAGTTATTTTGTTCTCTTTGTCATGCTTCTATATAATCATGCTCACAGCCTGTATGAGTGGCAATAAAGAATTTTTGAATGAAAATGATTTCCTGCTTTCATTCTGTGTAATTCCCATCAGCAAGCACCCTGCCATTCTGTGATGCCTTGTGCCAGTGATGCTTAGGGTTTGGTTTGGTTTTTTTTATCCCTGAATGCCATTTATCTACCCTCGTGCAGCTGCATGTTCAATTTATCACCATACCTGCAGGATAATGCTCCCATAAGCATTCTTTAGTAGATTAACTGCATCTGCATGAGACAGCCCATCCAAAGGTTGCCCATTAATACTGACAATCCGATCTCCAACCTAAAAGCACAACAGTAATGGAAAATTACTAGCATTAGGGAAAATTAAAATTAAGAATGCTTAAAATTCCTCATGAACTTGGCACCGCGCAGCCACGCTTCTCTTTTGCAGGATCCCTTTTGTGAGACTTCTGCATTGCTACTGATCACTCACCATTCCTCAGAGCAACTACAGGATGGGTTTTTTAAAAGTAACAATGTGATCAGCGACACAAAGATGGACTGTATTTTACCATTTCCATTTGCAAACAGAGAGAGGAAGAGAGAGAGATTTCCACTGCAGTCCTCCCATCCAGAAAGGATTCACTTATATCCACATGTGCAGACAAGCTCACATGACAGACTATGTGTGCAGGTCCTGAATGCAGTATAGGAAAGCAGGCAGTCCTGATGTTAATTTAATTAACCTAGATAACTTCTTCTTCCTATACATACCAAAGATCTTGACCCTGGCACTTAGTGTTATTGTGTAATTCTATTAGAGACATGGGGTGAATGTAGCAGTGTGTACTAATGAACCTCAGGGGCCAAAGCAATCCTGTGCAGCTGCATAATAAGTTCTTTTCCATACAAATGATTCCTTCAAACTCTCCAAAACCAAAAGTACTCATGACTCATGGTCATTTCTAGAAACCCCCATACCCTGTGGGTGTGATTTAAATGCCTTACTTTGGCATTTCTTTCTAAGGGCTTTAAGACTGAACAACTAATTTCTGATCTGATTTGAGCGTTAAATGATACCCAGGCTGCAGTGCCCAAAACTCCTGTGATTTCCAGAGAGCCTATCACTATCCTCCATGGGTCTGAATGAACATACACATTCAAAGACACCACAAAAGCATCTCTGCTCTTTCTCCTAATACAACTTTTCCATGAGGGCAACCATTGCCATTACCCCAAGATGAAGAGAAGGACAGGTTTGTGTTTGTGTTTTTTTTCTGTTTGTTTATTTTCTGTTGGGTTTTGTTTTGTTTTTTAAAAGACAGCACAGTCTATGAAAAATTATCAAAGTGATGGCATAGAGAGGAAAGCTTGTGACTCCTTCTCTGTGGCACACCTGGCAGAGGAAATATGAAATATTGAGAGGACTCCTCTACTCACCCTGAGTCTTTGGGTGCGTGCAGCCACACCAGTGGCTTGAATCATAGCAATGAAGATGGGAATATCTCCTAACAGACTCCCCTTCCCTCCTGCTATACTGATACCAAGTGCATCATTTGGTCCCTAAAACAAAGCAAAAAAAAACAACACTTGCAATTGGAGCAACTTGTTGAGGTCAATACTCAGGGTAAAGCAATAATTGGCTCATTTGACTTATGGAAGAGGGAGAAAACAGATAGGTTTGACAGGCACACACATGCTCACACATGTAGGTCCCGTTGCACAGCCGTTCATCCAACAACCTCTTGCAAACGTAAATAATGCAATTTTTCTTCTGAGATATGCTACAAATATTAACAATTTCAGTTAAAGGTGTCAGCTTTTTGAACTGATAGAAAATAACTCACTGACCCTCATTATCTCCACAGTCCTTGGGCCCATATCTGCTCCTACTAATAAAGAAACAAACAATTAGCTTCTGTAATTAAGCGATAATATAATTAAGAGATAACACTGTCAGGTGACAATGGTCCCTTGCTGCCTAGTCAGTTATCACTGAGCAGAAGCTGAGCCTTCCTGTGCCAAAGCAGGCAGTGCTGCTCATGTGGGGAGGATGGGATCTCTTGTTCACCCTGAGGTGAATACGGATGCAATCGCTCTGGCTGACGGATGCCACTGTGACACCCATTGTGGCACAGCCCCTGCTCACGGAATCTATTGAATAGCAGCACTCTGCTGGCCTGAAGAAAAGCCCTATTGTGCATTTCACTCAATTAAAGATTGGCTTATTATTCATAAATTGTGGTGTCCCTACCACAAAGGGTAGGGCACACAGCTGGCCTGAGGCTTCATTGATTTCCTCTTCTCATTTTTGCTGTATTAGTAAATAACAGACAGCCAGGAAGTCTGGCTGGTGTATATCTAACCACAGGGCATTTAAAAGTACTCAAAATATTAAAAGAAAAATTAATATAAGGGACATTTCAAAGGGGTCATTCCTACTGGGACTAAATAGCCTAGTGAGCTGATGGTGTAGTCAGATCCTGGGCTCTGCTATACCAACCTGGAATTCTATCTTTAATTAAACTATTTTAAGAACCTTTCAGAATTAGTCCCTTTCAGAAGTTAACGATTCTTAATGCCACATCTGGGTGTTCCTTCCTGCCACACCCTTGCCCGTGTGGGATCTGCTGGGAGTGCAGATAGCCACGGTGCAGCAAGGGCTGCGACAGTGGAGAGCCCAGCCCCAGGGACACTGAATCAGGGTGTGCAGGAATGTCCTCAGTGCTGCAGGGACATTCCAGACAGCACGAGGTAGACTGCCCGAAAAGCCATGTCTCCTCCAGTGCAGGCAAACTGGCAGAAGAAATGTCTTCTACTTCTGTCCACAGTCAGACACGAGTTGGGACAGTTGGAAAGGCCTCTAAGACCTTCAAAAGTCCAACTGTCAACCCAACACCATCATGTCAGCTAGACTTCAGGGCATGGTTTAGCTGGCTGATGGTTGGACTTCATGATCTTAGAGGTCTTTTCCAACTTTAGTGATTCTGTGATTCTATGAAGGTTACAAACTTGACACAGGTCAGAGTACACAAATGCACAGCTTCTCCACGAGCTACCACAGGCTGTAGATTTAGGACCTGCTAAATCTGCAAATTGCAAACTGAGCATTGTGACTTTCTCATTACAAAACACCCCTTTTATACACTCAAAAGCAACAAAGTTATAAATTAAGTGGTGGCAGCTTTATTCCCTGAGAAAACTGTTTCTAATGTGAGAACCTTGCCTGTGCTAAGCCTCACATGAGGACTTTGGGGAATAGCTGGGCACAGGAATTCTGCACTTTAAATAGAGGAACTTTATGGGTAGATGTAAAAATAATGTCATCTGTTGGGAAGTGTTTGGGTCTTAAAATATCAGGGGTATGTCTTCTGGGAGGCTGAGTAGGAAAACAAGATTCAAGTATTCAGCTTTGCTTTTAAAACAGCACAAATATAAAGTAAATAACACGCAGCTATTCTGACAGCTGCCCAGCTTATACCTGAGTTTCTCTGAGACACATCTGCTGAAGATCTTTTCGTGCTGACAAAATTCTGTAAGGTAGAGAGGACTGGAGCAAGCGCAGGGTGGAAGTGGCTATGGACATTCTGCTGGCTTGCCTGAAGTTAAAAATAAACCAAAACCTGTGAGTCAAATCCAATCATTAAGTTTATACCAGTTTCTGCAGCATACGGGGGCAGCTGTGCTCTGTGCCAGCCAGACTGGAAATACCACATTGGCCATGCAAATGCAAACCCCTCCCACCTGATTTCCAAAGGGGGAACCTACCAAGGTTGGTCCCATCCATTACGCTGCTCCTGGTACTACAGAACTGCACCCTGTTATCTGCACTACTAATGCATACTTTGTTCAGGTCTGCTGCAGAGGGCATAAGGAAGCAAGATTCTCTGCTTATTCCTGAGAAGAAGTGGAGATGATGGTTGCCCTTGAAGCTTGTGGACATCTTCCCCATGGTGCACCCCACAGGCCTTTCACTGTCAACCAGGCACCCAGCAAGACACCTAACAGCTCCTCTCCCAGTTTTACCCCTGCACTCAGCACTGGTGAGGCTGTGCCTCAAATCCTGGGGTCAGTTCTGGACCCTTCACTACAAGAAGGACATTGAGGGGCTTCAGCATGTGCAGAGAAGGGCAACAGAGTTGGGGAAGCGGCTGGAGCACAAGTCTTATGAGAAGCAGCTGAGGGGACTGGGGGTGTTTATATTCTGGAGAAAAGGAGGCTGAGGGGAGGCTTTCTCACTCTCTACAACTACTTGAAAGGAGAGCTCGAGTGAGGTGGGGGTTGATCTCTTCTCCCAAGTAACAAGGAATAGGACAAGAGGAAATGGCCTCAAGTTGTGCCAAAGGAGGTTTAGATCGGATATTGGGAACAATTTATTCACCAAAAGGCTTGTCGAGCCCTGGAACAGGCTGCCAGGGGCAGCGGTGGAGTCACCATCCCTGGAATGTGCTGCTGAGAGACATGGTTTAGTGGTGGCCTTGGTAGTGCTGGGGGAAACCTTGGACTAAATGATCTTAAAGGGCTTTTCCAACCACAACAGTCCTATGGTTCTAAGACAAAGGACAGCACTCAACATCTTGCTACACAGCAGTAATATACAGGCTTTGTAATTTTGGCTGAATATATTGTCTGCTTTCAAGGTTCTGTAATTGACTCTCCTCCTTTCATTTGACCAAGAACCTACTCTTATTTCCAGAATAACATGCCAGATGAGCAAAGGGAAAGCCTCCAAGGATAGCTTCTCCTGCATGGTACCAATTCTTGGCCATCCATTTCCAGCCCTCCATCTCCCTATCTCCATATCTGGCTTAATCTTTCAGACCCTGCCCCTGCAGGCAACACGATTATCAATTTAGGAAGTATGTCTGAACAACAGGTTCTATGGAGGGCCAGACCTTTTCCACTAATCTGCCTTATACAAAACAAAGGTGTGGTCTATATTTCTCCATCCACAGCAGAGGTCTCTCCCTCTAAATGCACAAGGAGGTGAGTCAAAAGGATTTGTCCTGACTGACCAGTGTGCAGCTGTCAGAGAGGAACAACAGGCAGAGCACAGCTTCCACCTCCAATTGCCAACTCATGGGTCAGTTAATGCAATTTGCAACGCACGTGAAAGAAGTCACTATCCTGCACCACCAGGCTAATATTTCTGATAATTAAAGGTATGCAATGGACCAAGAAAAAAGCCAAGTGAGGACAAAAGTTCTGGATGCTCTTGGTCAACAGCTTCTAAAACACTGCTCACAGTTGTGCAAATCATTCAAGCTGATTTTCTGCATTATCTGCCAAGATTTTTGTAACTTTTGGAATGGTTTTACTGAGAAACATTTATTCAGTTTTCAAAAATCACCAAATCACTTAAGCAGGGAGATGAAGGCTCTCAAATGGCTCTGCATTAGGAAGAGCAATTAAGTTTCTTTGTATTAAAAGAAATGCAGAAATTACCAGGTTCCTAAAAAAGCCTCTTATGCTACAAAGAAAGTGGGATAAGGCTTGATCTGATTTTTTTACCTAGACTCATGTTAGATATGATGGCATTTTCCGTCCCTTTTGGCTATGAGTTTCATATGGTAAAACTGGGTGGAGAATTTTTGATCATCACTATTTGATTACACTGCTCTTGCTTAGGTAAGCTGTTGATCCAATAGCCCCAAAAAGTAATACTCAGGGCTGCTGTTGTTACTCAAAGCCTTCAGTATAATTTTCCTCTGTTATTTCATTTCTCCCTGCCTGCTGCATGCAGTGCAGATGTTTATCCAATGATATTTAGTGATTATTTCTAAGGCTGGGCTCAGCCCAGCTGTTCCCACATGGCTTCAGTCCTCTGTGACACTTCACCCACCCAGACTGGAGGCTGGATGGCTGCTGGCCTTCGGGATGTTGAGAAATCATGCCACATGACAATGATTTTGGCACCCTTTTTGGGTTGTTCATGCACATTAAGGACAAGCCTTCTTAGAAGCATTC